AACAAACTTTTATAGTGTAAGACTTGAGGTTTTCACAGCGGTGAGTATGAAGATTTCTGTCTTCTGGGTTGTTGCGCTATGAATTCATCGCCCTGATGACGGAGGCAGTATGCCCTCTGAAACGTTGGTTAACATCGACCAGACTACACAGCGCAACAACCCAGAAGACAGAAATCTTCAAGCTTTTATAGAATTGCCATTTGGTTATTAATAAAAAAATACTGTTTCGAGAGCACAGATCCACAATTTAGACCTTGTAAATTAAATCACTAATGCATTGGTAGTGTTAGTATAACACCAATAGTTTTCTGACTGTGCCATGTAACCTTGGCATCAAACCACTCTCTTACTCTCTTGCGCCCCCAATGCCTGACACTGGTCTGAGTACAGAGGAGAAGCAACCTACTATGTTGCACTGGAAATTTTGGAAATTAATGGATGACCATAACTTGGAAAGGAATCCTTTCTGCATCCATGTTCATATGTGATCTCTTTACTTTTTTGGTGTGCAGAATACACCCTTAAATTTGCATGAGAGTTTACATCCAAATCCTATGAATTATGTAAAGGGAAAACTAAAACTATGATTATGTTTTGCTTGAAAACATATGATGATGCAATTTAAACACACACGAACCCAAACATTACCAAATATTACATGCTCAAAGCAGGTACATCCTAAGTACCAGTTATATGCATTATTACAGTGTCAATACAATCAGTATAATCACTATCAATATTAATGATGATATACCAGTCAGTTTCAGATTCCTTATTCTTGATCTTCAAAATTAAATATTATACAGAAAAAAATTAAGAATTATAGCTGTGTAATTTAAATTATTAATGAAGAGTAAAGAAACAAACAGAATAATCTGAGTAACACTGAAATGTATATATAAACAAATTATGTACTGTGCAGATATCTAACTTAATGTAATACATTGCTTATGGTGTTTAGACCAGTTATATTCACCATGCTACCTACAATGCAGGTCACATTTGATTTTTATGTGGGCCTCAATATGAAAGTTTAACTATAAATACAATGCTTTTGTTTGGTCTCTGGGATGAGGTATTTTAAAATGTAAAGTAAAAATGTCATAATCAGAGTAAAAACATGTTGTGGCATTAACACACAGTTCTAATAATCATGAACAGAGTTTCTTTTGGAGCATTTCTAGTATTATTTAATGTAAATTTAAACAACTATAGTATGTGGCTTAACATAAAGCAGTTAGTATAAATTATTAGCCCTCACTCTGTCTTTAATTAGCATCAATGGTGATCACTGATTTTTCCTGAGGTAAGAAATATCAGTTCTTTTACATAAGAAACATGTTCATAAATCATTTTTTAATAATTTAGGATGTTAGTTTCTCTGGATGGTGTTTGCGAATATGCACTGCTAGATTTCCCCGCTGCTTAGCACGATATGAACACCAAGAACACCGGTGTAAGGGTTCTTTTCCACCGCACTCCACCAGCTGATGTCTATTCAATGTACTCTTCCAACGGTATTGCTTGCCACAGTCTTGACAACTGTACAGCTTCATGGAAATGTGTCTTCTTTTATGTTGCTTTACCGCTGACATCATATTCATGCGAATAATCTGATCCCAGGACTGCCATTTTTGTAATGGTGAAGGCCATGACATGGTTACTGCAAAAGAAAACAAATATGTCAAGATAATATAAAAGCCATCTGCTTGAAAAAGGACAACTATTCAGGAAGTAGTTGGGAAGAAGCCGGTAATCTAGTTTGAAGGTCACTATTATGATAAATTTTACTTCCATGTTTCCTAACTTTCATGGTAAGGCACTATTTATATGGACAGCATTTCACTTACTTTAATTATACCACAATACACCTGCCTGAACACTTTCAAAAAATTAATGAACTGCAGTGGAAAGTTAATCAGTATGTTTGATCTTAAATCATAAATACAAAATAATACAAGCAGTGAGAAGTACAAACATTTATTCACATAAAACTAATGCCTTTCCGGACATTATTATTTAAGATTCTATTTGTTTTTAAATTCATATATAGAAGAACTTTATAAATAGTAGACATTATAATCCCCATTGCTGCAATTAACATTAGGGCTCCAAACAACTAGATTTTGTAGTTTGTAATACCATTCACAATGCTGACAGATTTGTTTGTAATATGTCATCATGCAAGATTAGAATTATTTATTAGTAATAAACATAAAACTCCAATATTTCATGTGACCAATAAGTCATCAATCTCCATCTTGTTAAATATGTTCCTTATTAAAATTTACATGTCTTTCAAAAATGATTCACCATACAAAATTTTAGAACTCTAAACTAAACTACTGTTGTTCTTAGCTCACAAGTTTGAACACTGAAGCAGGGCTACTGAATGCTTACCATCTGACACAGCTTTTGAAAAGGCTTTATTCCTGGAAGGTTCTTTCTAAGGTAAACTGATGCTCATGACAGTAAGTGCATGTTCAAGTGAAGATACATTCCAACCATATTCTACATGAATTTTTAACACAGTGTGTTAAAGCCAGGTACTGCTTCATCAATATACACCGGAGGACTGTAAAAGCACACATCTTACATTAGAGTGAGTTTCGTCTTTGGCTTTGCAATGTGTCCATGAGTCAAGCTCAATATTAGCACACAATGGGTTAAATGAAAATAAGAAACAAAACGTCTTTGTTTAGCATTCTTCTTATCAAAATAATTGCATTGATACTCACAGCCAAAAAATATTGTGAATTACATGATAAAAATAAATTTTAAATTGAAAAAGAAATTAGGAGTGTGTGGTCAAGGTTGATTTTAATAAACCCAAAAAAAAATAAAAATAACACAGTTCATTCAGATCAAGATATAATGTAGTAATCCAAGAAATGTGAGACACAAAAGTTGGTAAAGCCTATTATAAGATTATACATCTTATCTTGATGGAGTACACAGTTAATAAATTTTACAGGATTGACAACATAAATAAAGAAGTCTGTACTGAAATAATACAGTATGCAGTCAACACATTTTAGTGTCTGATAGACAAAATTTTGTTGTATCATTATAAGAACAATTATGACACCATTTTCACACCTCACAAACTGTAACCATAATAATGCATTATATTAAAAGATAGTAAAGTAAAATCTATAATAAATGAACCAAAACAATGAGACATTTAAAACTGGCACAGATCTTAGAACAGCACAGCAATGGAGCTTGCACAAACACAGTTACATGGAATACTGTATAATTTAATCTGAGTCTGTCTGTTCCTGGCTGAAATGAGACTCTTTACTTATCATTTAGTCCTATTAAATAAAACTGCAGTCACAGAATCCTAATTAAGGGCCAAAGCAGCCCTAAGCATTTATCAATCTGTTACTAAAATCAGGTTTTAAAATTTAATATATCACTTAGAAGTTCTAACCCTATCAGTCTACATTTGTATGGTGCTTGAAAATTTCAGTGAAGAAGTCACAGAATCCTAATTAAGGGCCAAAACAGCCCTAAGCAATATGTACTATTAATTCTCAATGTTCATGGTGGGTATACAACAGAAATTGCATGTTACCATCAAAATATAACCAACACAAAAGTGTTCCTTTCATTAAAAACAATCACACAAAAAGTCAAGACAGTAGCAGGACATGTGTCCTGTAAACTTAGTGTTAACAAATGACTTTCCCTAAGTACATCAAATCCTACAGCCTTTTTAACCATAATATTACATAAATATTATAAATCTTTGTAATTCAATAATGAAAAAAAGTTATGTAAAAGTTTATTACTACAGCTAGATAAATCTGTCAAGGGAAGTTTTCAATATGTTTTTAATCAGTAATTCCAGGTACAATGTATTCCTCTAACTTCAAATAAGAACAAAAACAAATTAAGCAACATTCATATTGTATACAATAACACAGAAGATCATTGTCTGCATGATAGCATAATGATACAATATTCAAGAGGATGGACTTGAACTGCTAAAGCTGCATGTCACAGATCACTCTGGGTTTTATAGACTTCTTCAGCACTTTCTGATAGAGTGCCAGTGTACAACCATTTGTTTTCCACAGTTCACCATTCATCCCATCATACTGCCATTAATGGTCTCCAGAAAATTGATAAAATCCTGAATTATAGAATCAGATCACTAAGCATCACTTATAGCAATATTGCACAGCTATGTTCATTTTCTCAGTGTGTAAATCATAAATTAGTGATTTCTATTTATATCAAAGGAAGAATGATATTCAACAGTCCACCATGCTCATTTAATCTTTATTATGCTTTTGTATCAAAATGGTATTTATTTTTAAGAAGAGCCAACAAATATAAAATCATTTTATGACTATCAAAAAGAGAAAAATTATTCTTTCAAGTGCTAGGAAATGAACACTATGAAAGAATTTATTAATAATGGTAATTTTCTAGCAATGTTGTTACAAGTTATTTAGTTTTGTTTCAATATTACTTTGGAAATCAATTATTTGACATTATTGTCTCCTATTAAAATATTAACTGATTTAGCTGGCATTAAAAAGAATTGAGTCTAGGACTCCTGTACATATGACAAACATGCTAAAACGTATTGTATTTTAACATAATGTAGGAATAATTAACATCATAAATGAAGAATTCAAAATGCACTAGACCAAATGCAATTAAAATACAGTTCCATAACAAATTGTAAATTACAAAGAACTTATAATTTTATTGTATATGTTAGTGAGGTTAAAGGGAGATAAAACTGTTCTGAACTTTGACAAACCAGTGGTTCTTCCAGTTAATGAATTTAACAAAATGTCAATTAATCAAATTAAGAACACATATTGGTCTTTCATAAACTAGGTGCATAGTGAGGATGCAATTTCTTTATATGTGTATTGAGGTTACTCTTCTGTGTTGATCGATGAGGGCAGTATGGACACTGAAACTGAGGTTCTTTTCCACATTCAAATCGTCTGTGACTCTTCATATTTTTCTTCCAGCGATACACTTTCCCACAATCTGGGCATGGATAAAGTCCAGGGCAGCTAGCATTATGTTGATCTGATAACCTATGTGATGCTGGAGGTTGATGAAAACTATTTATTGCTTGCTGAATATAGGCAGCATCACCTGATGATACTACATTCATACCAGATGTGGGATGATAGAAGTTCAAATCTGGAAAGGTAATATTTCTGTTATCTGAACTGACACGTTTTTAAACTTCTAGCTACAATACAATACATTTACTCTAACTACCAAATAGAGATAACAATCAATAGCAAAACATATTCTACTGAGCTATTAGCCTGAGAAATATTTTAACTTTTCAAAATGAGGGAGCAATTAAGAAAGCTATAATTTTTTTGTTGCAGATAATTTTTAAGAGTAACAAAACCATATTGCACAAAATCTACAGCAAAAAACTTTACATTACATTGCATTATATTATATTATATTATATTGTATTACTAGAAACAGCACAAAAATTACTGTACACTCTTGTTAAATCAGTCAACTTGACCTAACAAGCTTCTACTCGATGATAACCACACAAGTGAACAAAATATGTTGTTGACTTTATAATGTTAAATACATAATTGAATTGTTTGGCATATAGTGGGACAGCTCTGTTAAATACATAATTGAATTGTTTGGCGTATAGTGGGACAGCTATTTTTTTTTTACAGTTTATTTAAACTTATCCTTATCTGACATACAAAATGAGTAATCAGTTTTTGCTTACAATTTTAACAGAAATTTAGGCAGTTAAAAGGTTATGCATGTTCAACCACATACATTTGTGCATAAAATGTAATTTATCTTTAAGTTTTGCTTCTTAAGGCAATAAATATGAGAGAAGAGAGTAATATGGAAGGATAAGCCAACAGAAAATATTGCAAGAAAAATTATTTTATTGAGAAATATATAATGTACTTATCAATGCTCATAATTTCATAAATAAAAGTTAAGTTAATCAAAATAGGAACTGACATAGGTTTTCTTCACAATGGAATTCCTTTCGTTTGGTAGTTCAAACACAAATCCAAAAAATCATAACATAGAAGAGGTACAACGTTGAGAACACTGCACAAACCACAGAAAATAAAGTGTTTGTTAACACATAATAATATTTTGCCACATGGAAGGTTGTGTATACAAATGATATGAAGAAGGAGAGAGGTAATACACACAGTAAAAATCCAAAGAGGTGCCTGTATGATCTGGATTCAAAACAAATGACTTGTCACAGACAAATCCACAGTGTATTTTGCAAAAGACATACAAAGAGTAAACTACTACAAACTGAAATTACAAAACACCATAAATGCTATAAGTAACCCATTTACATTATGTATATGAAAACTGCGAGACAGCACAGCAATATCAGTAAAAGTCAATGGCTTTGAACTACAGAGTTGTAGTTCAATTCCTGGCAGGGGCAGATATTTTTTTCTTTGGCACCACATTCAGATCTCTTCTAGGGACCACTCATCCTGGAAATATTGACTGTAGCATGAAGCTGGCCACACATTAACTACTGCTGAAGTCTATAATGTGCTAATTTAAAAATGCAGAGATCAAAATAAAAATGCAATTTTCATTTTTTAAATATGAATTTTTACTTTTTATTTTGTATCGGTATAAAACTTGATCTTTTACCTTACAAGAAGAAGAGAGATTGTGGGTGTTTAATAACAGGTTGCTGGGGAGAATATTTAAACTTGAAAGTAACAGGAGAGTTGGAAGATTATATAAACAGAATCTTTTAAACAGTATATATACTTCTTCAAATTGCATTAGAATCATCATATAAAGGAGGATGACACATATAGAACACATCGTAGAGGCAAACTTTTGGTCAGAAAAGCTGAAAGTAAGGACTAGTCAGGAGACCCAGATGACACTCAGAAGAATAGGGTACAGCTGCAGGTTCATGTGAAAATGTTAATGAACTTACAGGTAGCATAAAATGAGACAAACTACTTAACAGCTAAGTGATTATTACCTCGTCAAGGAGCATTTTCCTCCAGGGTGATAATTACCTCTTTTGGTACCTATCCTCATTTATGAGAATAAACACAATATTACTAAATGTTTAAGACTATAAAATCACCAAAAAGTTTCATATTTCACCTCTCTTAACAGTATTCATCTCTGAACAAAACAGCATTATTTTTTATTCTTGAATGCAATACTCCACTACCATCTAGTGTAAATTACTTAAGTTCCTTATGCTCAAACAAATGTAATGTAAGCCAGGATAGGAAATGACATGAACCTTTAAACTGATTATGAAATATATCCTAAGTAACACGAATCAGAAATAACTGCATTCTGAATATCCTGCATTGCATTTTTGAAATGTAACATGTTTTGCTTTTGAAAAACTTTCTGTTAGAATTTAAAGCATTATGGGTATTGGGGAGTATGTAATGATGCATAGTTTGTTTCCTAAAGGATACTTAATAAACACAAACTAGTTTTTTTTATCGTGGTGCAGCATAGAACTATGTAACTACGAAACAATAACCCTAGACACTGGCTTTCAGAGTTACTGTGCATGTACTCACACAGAGGTGACATTATTTTGTAAATTACTTTCACTGTGTAATAACTTAGACTCTTGCCTCTGGATGACAATTCCTAATATGTTTTCGTAAATTACATTTCAGTTTTGTCTTCTTGTAACAATATGGACACTGAAACTGTGGTTCCTTGCCACATTCCTCTCGTCTGTGACGGGTCAATGAAGTCTTCCAAGTGTAAATGTTCCCACAATCTGGACATGGAAAGTTACCAACGTCTGAAGATGAGCCATCTATTAAACTATGATGGGAAGAGACAGTCTGAGACTTAAAGTTCAAAACTGCATGGTTCTTCATGTAATCAGTCCATAGTGATGAGGTGAAAGACTTATCTTGGTGTAAGCATTGTTTGCCTGTGGAAACAAACAATCATTTCAGTTATTAAATGTCAGCAATATTTCCAAATTCATGAACAATGAACTTGTACATCATTCTTCAAACACAAGTACATTGAACACATTTCACATAGCACTTCATAATCTTTTCCACAACCAATTAAATGTATTTTGATGCTTTTAGACTTTAAATGCACTACTTTAGGATGTTACACATACTTTGTGTGTGTGTGTGCTCACACGCACATGTGTAGTGGTGGTGGTGGTGGAGTAAAATTATTGTATTTTATTGCATGAAATAAGGCAATGGGTTATGCATTAATCAACTGTTATATGATATTCTTGTAACACATTCAGCTTCATACCACTGGTTAAGTTAAATATAACAGTCTTGATGATGGAAGAAACAATATACAAAAATACATTATGAATAAAATTAAATTGGGAAGCACCAGTGCTTTGTTTAAACTGCACATAAAATTTTTTTATCTGCTTGGATCTTAAATGTGTCATGTCAAAAACTAAGCTTATGCCAAAACAAAACTCTACAAAAACTGCAGTCACACAAAACCTTATAAGTCCTGATTATGAATTAAGGAACCAACACTGCATATGGTTTTGTTTCTGTTATAGTACATGTTCTATAATTGCTACACAAACAGTCACTATATAAATGCATGGCCTTCCTTATCATGCAGTTTAAAATTCAATACAGCGGACTTATCATTTGCCGAGAAATAACCTTCAATACACAAGACTTGCACCTTCAGCAAAACAATAAACTTAAATGTCATGAGAAAAGTGACCAACTATTTTCCGGCCAAGAATTTACTGCTATGAACAGATTCCTCTGTCGGGTACACAGCACTCAGTCCACAGACAAATTACATACCTAGTAATTACAGTTAATATGGATGGCCAAATCTTCCAATGTACTGCTAAAAACCATACAGTGTCACTGTATGGAGAGTCATTACAAAATACCTAAAGTTCATGAGGTTTCCTTACATCTAACTAGTTGACAGTGGCATCACTGCCAAGCAAGCAGCACAGAAAATGGATTAATAAATAAATACAATGCTATGTTCAAAAAAATCAAATTCTCTAATGACTAAGTTACGTTTGATAAGGTAATTGTGCATGAAAGTTTTTGATGTGTTTCTTCAGATTGCATTTCAGCTTGGTTCAACTTGGACAGAATGGACACTGGAAATGAGGTTCTCTTCCATACTCTTCTCACTGATGTCATCCACCTCATTCATTACACACAAAATCCTCCAACTACATACTGACTGACAAGTAAAATCTCTTGGAACACTACCATGTATGGGTTCCCAATGGTGATACATTTTCAGGTTGACAGATGTTCTTGAAAGGAGAACAAGAGACCTCAGTAAGGAAATAATTAAAAACTGAGCTTTGGTGAAACAACAGAATTAAATTTTATTCTAACTGTATCATTACCTTCTTTTTTAGGCTGGTGCTTTAGGTGAGAAACAATTATTTTTTAACTTACACATAGATGATAATGTATAATTATGCAGATGGACAGATGAAGAGTAAGAACAGAGTAACAGTGATGGAGTAAAATTAATGCTTCTATGTAAAATAATATCTGCAGTACTAATTAGTTTATCAACATTAAATACATATTTGCAACAAATAAAGAACAAAGCTGTATGTACCCATACATAAATAAACACAAATATCTACACCACTGAAGTCTGACAATTAAATAACTAGACTGGAGTTTCTGGGCATCAAATGCCAACACTTGAGTTGTGCAAGTTGAATAATGAGACAAAAGTTGAGATCTACCAACTTTTTGTGGCTGAATAATGAGACAAAAGTTGAGATCTATCAACTTTTTGTGGCTACAGTAAATGGTTTATTGACAGTGTTCTGTATTTTTATAAAGAGATATGGATCATAAATTATTATAATCAACCTTAAATATTTATTGAAACTGGATAAAAATATTGATGTTCACAAAATGTTTTACGCATTTGGTTTTCCTTTCTACCAAGATACCATCAGAATAAATATTTACAAAAAATATGCTGACAAATGAAGGATATAAAACTCTGTATTTCAAACTGAACCACACACCTGCATATTTTCCTCAGCTTTACTTTGGGATGATATCATCATTCAGAAGAGTGATATTGCATTATTACTGTACAGATTTCTTC